GGCCCGAAGAATTCAGTCCCCCAAAATCAGCGCAGCTATAGTTCAGAAATATTGATGGAAACTGTTCATTTCTGTGCAGCTTCCAGCCAGCTCTGGAAAAGCAGATTAGATGGGCGAAAGGAGGGGGGAAGGTGGGGGGCAGAGCCTTTGTCGACACATCCAGCCAGGAAGAATTTAGTCAACAGATCCAACAGATTCAACAGATTTTAACTGGTGTTTTGCTTTTTTAGCTAGCCTTTATCAACTTTTAGCTTGCATTTGCTACTTTTAAGTTTTAGCTGCTGTTTCACTATTTTTTACTTTTGGAATGCTTTTGGCTGCTTTAGCTAGAATTAGCAACTTCATCTTTTAGCTGGTGATTTTTAACTTTTAGCATTTGCTACTTTTCTCTTTTAGCTTTTGTTTAGCCTTTTTATTTTTGCCAAATATTGCATTTTTTATAATCTCTGATTTAAAAAAAAGGCAAATGTCAAAAATAAAATATGTGTGAAAACAAATGTCACCAAGTCTTTCAGACTTATTACAAACTTTCTGTCATCAAGGTGTTTAAAACAGCTTGTGGTCAAACCAACAAAACAGAACCTGTAACAAACAATCTTTTTGTCTCTGGATGGATGAAGGTGCTTCTGWCATGAACTGACCTTGTACAGCTTGTTTCTTAGGATCTCAGCTTCCATCTCATCCAGGTTGGTGTCTGTTGTAGCATCAAGGAAAAATTGAGCTACAACCAATAAAAAAAGAGTAAAAACACTCAGATACGAAATTCATCAAGTTGTTTTTGTTTTTCTTCAGTAGGACCTAAAAAGGTAGAAGTAGTTGAGCATTATTTTCCTAAAAAGTAGACTGAAAATATTCATCATTTGATTTTTTYCCCATATTGCTGCCTCAAAACCTGGAATTCAGTGATGCACACAAAATAACTATAAACTCTAAAGAAACGTACTTAAATTCTAAAGATGTATATAAAATTTGAAATCTGGTGCGTAACTGTTTTTATGTCTTGATGCCTCTGAGATCTGGTGGACARGCTTCTCTTTACAGCCATGCGTAAGAGTTCTGAAGATAAAGGTTGGGGCTCAATTCCAGGTTGTAAAGTAACAAAAGAGAAATAAGTTTCTCACACCCTCTGGTTATCAATGAAAAGTCAAAATAATTATGTTGACAAAAATGTATGTGTATGTAAATATATAGATTAATGCTACCTTAGGTACCGTAATCTACATTGTCCACACCCTTGTCTTTAACTCGACCCTGCTCGAAACAACACCAATCGGGGGGGCTAGCTAATCTTTAAAATGAGTCTCRAACATCGACTCCAAAAATCTTCTGTGTCTCAGGACCTGCAATGACTCAGTGATGGAAAATGATGCAGAAATTAATCATGTGAGAAGAAGAAACAAGTCACCGAGCGRCGTGTCCACCAGGATGGTTGAACAGAGCTCAGTCGGGGTGCGAGCAATGCCCACAGCTGCTAATTGGTCCAAAGCTCCGAGCGGGTGGCACCGTGGGAGCAGCTCTGCCACGTCTCTGTGTTTCAGGGCCCCGCTGATCAGCATCACCAYGTTGTCGATCATGTAGCTGTAACTATCAACAAAAAGGACCGTTTGTTTTGCCCAACCCTGTTTTAAAGTATGTTTTCATACAGGTGATTTCAAATGACAGTGAAGGAATCATGCATTTCTGTAAGGAATAACAGATCTTTAATTCAAGAATAATATATCTGTGTACAAATGTGGATTTCTGTTAGTCTATATGTTGTGGTCTTTTCAAAAAAGTGTGTGTATCTTACGTGATATAATCCAGGAAGGTGGAAAGTGGGAGGAGGGCATTGGAGCGCAGGCAGCTGAATTCAGTCACCAGATTCTCCCTCAGTTTAGTGTCCAGTAGAGACACGGTTAGATCATCTGCATGCGAGGACAGAAGTTTGCCATAATCTGTGGTCTGAAGGTGTAGCTTCATGTCTGAAGACAGAATACAGATCTGTATTATGCATATGTGTATATATAAAAAAAAAAATTCCCTTCTCACCCTCCGCGGGTGGTCTCTTTCATCCTCTGAGCTCGGGTCCTCTACCAGAGGCCTGGGAGCTTGAGGGTTC